ATAGTATAAATATATATATATATATATATATATATATATATATATATATATATATTCATATTCATGTTAGTGTTTTGTACGTTTCTTTAACTCAAAACTTATAACTTATAACAATATAGCCTTTTTAAATTAAGAAAATATTATATTATAAAACTTCTCCAAAAAACTAGCAGTTTAGTCTAGAAATGAGAAATTTGAATATTATACATATGATTTTAAGTTCGAAACTTACTATCGTTTAATTGACAGAGGGAAAAAAAACTTCTCAAATTTGTTAATATTTTAGCTGGTCTAATGGTCTTATTATTCTATTTTTCCTATAACTAAGAAAAGAAGGTATATAATTAAGCTTGTGGTTATAAATTTGTTCACATTAGCTATAATATTAATAACTTAAATTACATGTTAAACAAAAATAATTGCAGATTTCGGCATCCTGTTAATTAAAGTCAAGACAACCAAATATTTTATAGCTCATTAAAGCCATCGTTAGGATAAATGAGTCCCCTGTTTGATGATAATTTTTTAAAATAATAGTAAGAATTATTATTCAATATCATTAATTTTGAAGTTATATATATTCTTAAAATTCTAATCCCCTAAATTATAAATAAAAATTAATTGTTATAACTAGTGTTGTAAATATCGGATTAGACCAAACGGTCGGACCAATCATGGTGTTCACACCAAATTAGTTTGCTCATCAGTTGGAGAAGTTATTGAATCAGATCAAACTGATGGTTTCTGTAAAAAAAAAAAAAAAAAAAAAAAAATCCCAGTTGCCAATTTTATTTATTTTTTGTTTTTTTAAGGGAAATATATTATACATTATAATATCTAAAATTCATTATTATTACTCGTCTTAAAAAAACTATAAATAAAGAATTTTTTATCATATAATTAAACAAAATTAATTTACTACAATAATAAGCTACATGATATTTTCGAATGTTAATAAATAACTTAATAAATTACATCACGTGAAACTAAATTTGTGATATAAAATTAATATTTATTAGCTATTATATCAAAATTTAAGTAATACTTTTATGATACTTAGTATAAAATTCAATAATTTTAAGTAATAAAAAATTTCATATATTTTGGCCCTTGATCATCTTGTACAATAATTCTTAAGGACGACCGTTATTTTTCTAATGTCTCGAGTTAGTAATATACTTGTGTTTAAAAAGTTATAAACCTTGATTGCTTTGGCATAGTTGCTGGTGTATGTGTTGTGTGATGTATTCTCTAACCCTCGATTGTGGTTTAAGTCCCTAGGATCATAGATTAGGGTGCGTTGCATTCTAGTTTCTAAAATAAAAAATTTGAAACCCATAGCTTTGGTTGCTGTAGTGTGTCAGCATGAGCAGAATCTAAATGAACCATCTTGTGCAGTGATAGACTTCTATGTTGGCTTTCTAGCCTCTTATATGCCGATTCTAAATCGTTTTCGTTGAGTTTGACTTCCAAATGTATTTTTCCTAAAACTTGAGCAAGCATATTCTGATTTGTTTATTTCATTTGATCAAATTCTAACGGGGACACTGTAAGTGTAACAAGCATTTTCCAAATTCTGAGTTTTCTAAAAGCATAATTCTAAACAGAATCCATGAACTAGTACAAGTGATGTAGTTACAATACTACACTGTCTATGACCTGCCCCTCCTCAAATTGCATGATGGACATTTATATTGCTTTAGGGTCTCAGCCTTTGCAGGGTTCATCATAACACACTTCCCATGATACCACCACTCACAGATATCGCAGCCAATCCAAAACTCTTGTGGATTGTAATATCCTGCGCAGCTTCCACATTGTATTATGATCATATCTTCATTCATGGTGTTTTCCTGATGCTTGCTTGCACTACCCTCGGAGGGCTGCTCCGTAGTTGGTTTCCAGTTAGCCACAACTTCAGAAATGGTCGGAAGATTATTGATCAAACTAAACAAACGTTGCCTAACATTAAGAGTCAAGGATACCATCAATTAGTACAAGTTTTATATGCTCACTTCTCTTAACTTGAACTATTACCAATATCATGTACCTTTGAATTTGGTCAAGACTATAAGCGGAGTAATAAGCCACGTAAAGCAACCACGAAGTACAATGCACAGAAACATTGGAAAACCAGTCTTGGCGCTCCATGGTCCTCGCAAAGTTGATTCCAAGAACTGGCTCAGGAAGTTCCGCAGGAACATTCGGTGCTGGCAGTTTCAATTCCCATTTCCCATTCGGATATCCATAGAGGCACAACTCATCATCCTTATCTTAAAAAAACAAACCCCAAACTCAAATGTCAAAGATTCCTTACAACTTACAAGTAACAAAAAAGAAAAGATCACATATAATATAACCCTTTACCTGGATCACAGAGGTTGTATAATTCGTCGGCATCTGAGAGAAAGAAAAGGCAAGAAAGTCAAGAACTTGGAGAATAAAAAGAAAGAGAGAGGTTTTGTACTACATACCCCGTGTAAGAGCGTTAATAAGAGCAGTTCTTCTACCCTTATAGTCTCTGAATATCTCTTCAACGGTGCGGGGTCTCGTGTCCATGTCCAAGTATATATGTAATCGTTGTAAAAGAAAGTTGCAGAGTGAAAAGAGAACTAGCATGCGTGGTAGCAAAAGACAAGAAATTACTAATTGCAAACTGAGAGTAGTTAGTTACAGTTAAACTGATGAAAAAAAAATGAATTAGTTAGAAGAGTGAACAGTTGGAGAGAGAGACCTTGGGAGTTGATCGAAACTCAAAAGCGTGGAGATCAAAGACTGTAAAGAGAGAAAGTGAGGAAAAATACTGATGTAAAAGTAAAAGTACTGAAAAAGGCTAATTAGTCAAGATTTTGTTGTACGATTTGCCCAGATAGCCAGTTTCCTTCTATTAAATTCATTTTAGATCAAAAAAAGCCTCTTTACTGATGCAAAATGTTACGTGCACAAGCAATTATTATTAGTTTTTTAACAATGATACACGTACTGACGTACCATACAAATGTTCATACAGTAATTTGTGGAAACTCATTTTTTTTTATCTCTTCATCATTAACAAAAGTAATAAATTAATAAATAATATGATGGGGAGAGAAAAAGAAAATATTATACAATTTATTTTACAAGTATTGTACAAATATATGAAAACAGAATGCGTTTTGTGAATATTATGTGGGATGGCGTGCTTTTGAATACCGGATGGCAGAAGCCTCAACTACTTGTGAAATATACCATATGAAAACAGACATCATGGACTATTACTTTGTTTCCAATTTCTTTATCATCAAAATATGTGATTTCAAATAAATTTCAGCCAATAATAAGAGTGGTATTGTTTCTAAAGGAACTGAGAAACAATTGTCACAAGAAAAGAAATACACTAACCTTGGTGCTTCCCCGAGATTTGCTTCCACTGTCCACAGTTGGCTTGTCCTTAACTGGCTTCCTGTCAGTCACAACTTCAAAAACGGATGGAAGATCATTGATCAAACTAAATAACCGTTTCCTGCCATAATGAATTGACGTAACCATCAATACAAGGAACCATCTACCAGCAGGTGCCAAGAAAAATACCACAATAAAGAAATCCAATAGTTTTTACGGATTGATATATCTTAGCAATTGCGAAAAATATTAAATGAAGGAAAAGCCACAAGGGAAAAACCAGAGTAATCAATCCTGAATAGATTAGCAGAGCAAAGCAGCCAACCCCAAGTGTTATAACAGTATAGCAGCTCGTGGAGCAGCTACTATATTTAAGATAAAAGATTATTAAGCACCCGCTCTACCAAAAATAGCAAAGAGAAAACAAAAATAATTTATATGTGATGGCAACTCAGTGTTAGGGGGGGTCATGACAGTTATTGGAAAAAATTAGGAGCAGTTAAGCATAAAAATAGTTCAATCTCAATGCTGCTTTGCATTATTATAATATGAGCATATTTAGATATAAGTATAGAAATGTTTTTAAGAACTTCTCTACCGGAAAAAAAGGTCTTTATTTTCGGTAGAGAAGCTCTCAAAAACGCATCTAGCTTATATCCAAACCAACATTTTAGGGCAGAAAATTAAGAGCAGATGCATGTTATTAAACAGGGGATAGGAGAATAAGAGTGTATTCTTTTTCTAGCCATTTGGACAGAACTCATCTTCATAGGAAATTAGGAATATATCTCTCTAGGAATATATTCTATGTGATTTAATATTTCTCTTCTCCAATATATCTATTGGTGTGTTCTATCATTTTGGTCTGACCTTCCAAATTAAAAGGAGGGAATTCTGTGACCAGCGACGAGAAGGACCATGACACGTGTGACAGTGAGGTTGAATAAATTGAAATTTGGAAGAGAAACTAGAGGGGATGGAAGACAAATTGAGGCTCGGGCAGGGGTCAGTGTGGACAGGAAATTGGCAAATTTTGAATGATTTTGTTGGAGATGAGAAAATTAATGGGTAAGCATGTAGAAGATTAGAAAGACAGATCATCAAATAGAGAAGAGAAGGGATCAGATTCAGCCAATCATGACATGGATAAGTACCGTATAGAAGTTAGGTTGAACTATCATCTTTCAATGGAGATGACCCTGTTGGGTAGATTACTAAGGCAGAAACCCATTCTGAAGTTCAAAATATTAGAGGGAAAGTATTAGTGGAGAAGTGAAGATTAAATTAGCAAATCATAGCAATGTCATCACATTTTAAGTTGACTGCAGGCACAAACTTTCACAGGGACAATCGGAGCAATGGACATGGCTACTCCCAGTGCTAACAAGAGTCATAGTTTTAATAAATAATTGCTGGATGGGGACCTAGGCCGATAAGATTGTATTTAAAAACAAGCATCAAATCACAATTGATAACAGAGAAATTTGAACCAACACCATATTGTTAAAAAAAGTCCATAATTTCTTGAGACATTCATCATTCGCAGTGACTTATAATCTCAATGTTAAACAAAGCGCATAGGGATGTCTTAAATGGATAGGGAGCCACACTGAACCTGAATTATGACCACATATATGCATCATCAAAGCTAGTGCTTACCTTTCATTGCGATTAAGACGAGCTCCAAGGTAGAAGGATACAGAGAGCAACCAAGAATCACTATGCACAGCAACCAGAGAAAGCCAATCCCTGCGGTTCATGCCATCCCTAGCAAAATTGATTCCAAGAGCTGGCTCAGGGAGCTCTGGCGGAACTTCCTCGGCCGGCAGAGTTACCTCCCAGGCCTCATTCGGGTGTCCATAGAGGCACAAGTTATCCTTATCTTAAAGAAACACACCAGAGACTTCAAATTTAATGGAAGGACACACAAATCTTTCCAAAATCACAAAACCACGTGAATTAGTAATCTCAATTTAACAGAAACTAAAACCCAGCAAAGTGAACATGGATGTGACGTGACACTCTAATGATGGACTCAAATGTCAAAAGAACAAACGCTACATTATTTGACATTCCCACGATAACTAAACAGCACAATAACCATGTCAGAACTCACTTTTTTTTCCCCCTCATAGCAGCAGACCCATTTCGTTTTCTCATATTATGTGCATCAAAACTCTACCTTGTCACTCCAACAAGCATGCACAATACACACACCCCAGAGGAGGAAGAAAGACCCAAATTTACAAAACAAAATGAGTCCCAACAAAAATAAATAAGTAAATCCAATATTTTCACATACAACACAAAACAAACTAAAAAATTGAACCCACATAAAAAAATCAGATCCTAATTACCCTTTACCGGATGGCAGAAGCCTCAACTAGTGCAATATACCATATGAAAACAGACATCATGGACTATTACTTTGTTTCCAATTTCTTTATCATCACAGTATGTGATTTCAAATAAATTTCAGCCAATAATAAATTTGACTACTTCGTAATGCATGGTTAAGGACAGGACTGGCTGGATGGCCTAACCGATGGTGCCACAAAAGAGAGGGATGACAGTGAACATGATGAAGTTGGGGGGGTGAGTTGGAAGGCAACTTGTACACGTGATCATCGTTCTTGCCTCGTAGAAGAATCGCCCCCGTGCTCAGGCTCTTGACCTCGAAATGATAGGGAAAAAATTCAATAGAAACAAGATTAGTTTTGCACAATTGAGAAACAGAAATTAAATTTTGAGTAATTGAGGGGACATGTAAAACATTTGATAAATGGAGAGGGGTGGATGAGGTGGGAATAATGGTGGAACCAGAGTTCTTAATGGAGAGACCTTTACCATTGGCAACAAAGAGTTGATCATGGCCTTGATACGTGTCAGCCAGGGACAGATTTGCAATGTCCTTGGTGACATGATGTGAAGCACCCGAGTCAAGTAACCAGCTGGGATCGGACTGTGGTTCTTGTTGAGCTAAGTTTGCTTGATGGCGTGGATGGTTGGAAGGATATCCATGCAGCTGGTAGCAAGTTTTGGCAGTGTGGCCTCTTCGATCACAATATTGGCATGTGGGAACTGAACGAGAGGATGATGATCCTCGCTGAGATGAGTTATTGGATAAATTAGATGAGGCAGCAGAAGGCAAAGTAGTGGAGTTACGAACTGATGATGAGTTGCGATAGTTTTGGGACCTTTTTCCACGGGAGGAGGAAGCATTGTAGCGTTGAGTGTAATGTGCAGTGGCTGGAAGAGATTGCTGCTGGCGTTCCTCACGTTGGAGGAAGATTTCAAAATCAATGAGTTTATCAAATAGTTCATCAAATAGTAATGGAGAGTCACGTGCACGAATTGAGGCAGTGAACTCGCGAAAACTAGGGCCAAGACCATTGAGAGCGGTGATCACCAAATCAAGGTCATCAACGGGATGACCAATGAGAGCAAGCTCATCGGCAATGACCCTTATAGAACGGAGGTAGTCAGCAACACCAGAGGTGCCTTTAGATATTGAGGCAAGTCGTTCCTTCAAGGACATTATACGAGTGCGGGATCGATTAGCATATTGCTTGTTGAGTCGGTCCCATGCAGCAGCAGAAGATTCTGCAGAGGTCATAACAATTTGAGCATCGGGACTGCAAGAACCTAGAAGAGCAAGAAAAACAAAGTGGTCTTGTCGTTGCCAATGAGTATATTCTGGATTTGTTGTAACATTTCCCTCTGAACCAGTTTTGGGAGGGGGGCAAGCGGTTTCACCAGTAACGTAGCCAAAGAGATCATTGGCCTTAAGAAGATGCGTGATTTGATTGTACCAAGTATGATGGTTTGTGGAGTTGAGTTTGATTGGAAGACTGGTTGCTATAGTGAGTTCAATAAGGGGTTTCATGGAAGCTGGTGTGGTAGCCATTTGAAAAAAAAAATAATAGGTGCTGTGAAGCTAGTGGCTCTATGATACCATGTACAAATATATGAAAACAGAATGCGTTTTGTGAATATTATTTTGAAACCTTGAATTTCCAATGAACAAGAGATATATATTTATACAAGTGAGTAGATAATTCTGGTATAACAACTAACAAAGAGATTGCACAATTCTAGGAGATCATGATAAGGTTGTTATGATAGATAGGGTTTGTTATGGTGACTGAGTTAACAGGCCAACAAGTATCATATTCATATCTCCTTTGTTTCTTATAAACAAAGAGCTTGTCCTAATTGCTTCAGACCGTTGTGAATTTTAAAATAAGATAAAATACTATGAATATCTACCAACTACCATGTCTCTTCTTGAAGCATAAAATTTCTTCTCGTTGTGAAGAATCCAAGTGTATTCTTACCGAGAAAGTCAATATCTATTTCGAAAGAAAAAATTCTTGAAAGTGGAATTATATCTCTCCCTTTTCTCTTATTTTTCAAAAGTTTCTATAGTGAAGAGAAAATGTGTATATGAATGTATTTGGGATTGCTATCTTATTATAGCTACAAGATGTAATTTTAAATTTCATTTGATTACTGTTAGAAATCATGTTCAGTGGAACAAATTGATTTTGATAAATAAAATATTATCTTTCTTGATAATTATTTTAAATCATATTTAAAACATATATTTGATTGAAAACAATCATGTGTCACCTTTTATTTCTAATTGCAAATAGTTTAAAAAACATTTGATAATAAATTTTTTTTCTCACTTTGGCGGTTACAAAATATTATAAACTTGCATTCATTATCATTTGGAGACTTCAATTGAATGGCTTGGTTACCTGCGATAATTTGAGAAAGAGACAAATTGTTCTGAATGAAATGGAATATGTAACAGTCCAATTTTCACTAGGTCAAGAGCCCAATTAAGGTGGTTTAATAAGTCGGAACGGGCCGTTCCAAAAATTGGAACGAGCTGTTCCAAATCATTAAATTTTCCTATGATTCTTAGTTTGGAACGGGGCGTTCCAAAGATGAGAACGGGTCATTCCAGAGTTGAGAACGAGTCGTTCTGGATGTGATTTTTAGTTGTGAGTTAAAGGTTCAGAACGGGACGTTCCGGCGAAGCCTGATGCCTATAAATAGAGCACTTTGCCACTCCCAAAAAGCACACCTCTCATTTTCTGATTTCTTTTCTTCTGCTCTCTCTTCTTTCCCTCTACTTTCTACTTCGAACCGAGGGGAACCCAGCGAGGGAGACCAACCAGATCTTGCGTAGGTTCAGCTACTACTTATCAAGGTACGGGGGAAAATGGGATTATTTGTATGCAAAGTTACATTAGGGAATTGGGGATTATGAGTAATTTTATAATTACTTATGTTTGGAGAATTATTGATCTTATGTGATTCTGTATATATTTCGGATTATGAATATATCTTTAGTTTGTAAGAATGATGATTTGGGAGAGAGAACGAAATTATAAAAAAGTGCCTGTAGGCTAGGTTTTGGAAAAATTCGATTATTTCTGTTGGAGAAATTGATGATCCCATTAGATTCGGTATATGTTGAGGATGAGAAATATATATTTAATTTGTAAGAATGATGATTTGGTAGAGAGAATGAAATTGTAGAAAAGTGCTTGTGAGTTAGGTTTTGGAATAATTGGGAATTTTACCCACTACAAGAATGTTTCAATTTAGAGTCGGCTAAAAGCCGACTCTAAATCATAAAAGCCGACGCAATATTGTCGATTATTCGTCGGTTTTTTGTCGACGCTAAATAAGTCGACACAATTTTTTTTGTGTCGGCTAAGCCGTCACTAACAAATTTATTTATTTTAATTTTTTATTGTCGGTTAAGCTGACACTATGTTGACACAAATTTTTTTATTTTTTTCTTTATCTTCTTTTTCTCGCTTATCATTTATTCGTTCGTATTTTTAACATTCCTGGGACTCGATCCGTGAACCTTGAGGTGTTAAGTGAACTTGATAACCAAGTGTACTAGAACACATTATGCATATATAACATTGGAAAAATTATTTTTATCTCTTTGAAAGCACGTATATTATTTAAATATAGCGTCGGCTTTTCCGACGCTAAACTTAAAATAAATTTAATTTAAATTTATTTTAAGTTTAGTGTCGGAAAAGCCGACGCTATTCTTTAAATATAGC